AGGTGCTGGTCATAAAATTAGAATATCATGAAAAAGTAGATTGATTTCAGTAATTCCATTTAAAAAGTGAAACTTGTATATTATATTCATACATTACATACAAACTCATATATTTCAGATGTTTATTTTGTTTAATTTTGATGATTACAAATGACAACAAATGAAAATCTCAAATTCATCATATCAGAAAATTAGAATATTACTGAAGACCAATAAAAACAAAGGATTTATAGAAATGTTGGCCAACTGAAAAGTATGAACATGAAAAGTATGAGCATGTACAGCACTCAGTATTTAGTTGGGCCTCCTTTGGCCTGTATTACTGCAGCAATGCGGCGTGGCATGGAGTCGATCAGTCTGTGGCACTGCTCAGGTGTTATGATAGCCCAGGTTGCTCTAATAGTGGCTTTTAGCTCTTCTGAATTGTTGGGTCTGGTGTATTGCATCTTCTTCTTCACAATACCCCATAGATTTTCTATGGGGTTAAGGTCAGGAGAGTTTGCTGGCCAATTAAGAACAGGGATACCATGGTCCTTCAACCAGGTACTGGTAGCTTTGGCACTGTGTGCAGGTGCCAAGTCCTGTTGGAAAATGAAATCTGCATCTCCAAAAAGTTGGTCAGCTGCAGGAAGCATGAAGTGCTCTAAAACTTCCTGGTATGTGGCTGCGTTGACCCTGGACCTCAGAAAACACAATGGACCAACACCAGCAGATGACATGGCACCCCAAACCATCACTGACTGTGGAAACTTTACACTGGACTTCAAGCAACGTGGATGAAGTGCCTCTCTTCTTTTCCTCCAGACTCTGGGACCTTGATTTCCAAAGGAAATGCAAAATTTACTTTCATCAGAGAACATGACTTTGGACCACTCACCAGCAGTCCAGTCCTGTTTCTCTTTAGCCCAGGCAAGACGCTTCTGACGCTGTCTGTGGTTCAAGAGTGGCTTGACACAAGGAATGCGACAGCAGAAACCCATGTCTTTCATACGTCTGTGTGTGGTGGTTCTTGAAGCACTCACTCCAGCTGCAGTCCACTCTTTGTGAATCTCCCCCACATTTTTGAATGGGTTTTGTTTCACAATCCTCTCCAGGGTGCGGTTATCTCTCTTGCTTGTACACTTTTTTCGACCACATCTTTTCCTTCCCTTCGCCTCTCTATTAATGTGCTTGGACACTGAGCTCTGTGAACAGCCAGCCTCTTTAGCGATGACCTTTTGTGTCTTGCCCTCCTTGTGCAAGGTGTCGATGGTCGTCTTTTGGACAACTGTCAAGTCAGCAGTCTTCCCCATGATTGTGTAGCCTATAGAACTAGACTGAAAGACCATTTAAAGGCTTTTGCAGGTGGTTTGAGTTAATTAGCTGATTAGAGTGTGGCACCAGGGGCCATTAATTTTGAACCTTTTCACAATATTCTAATTTTCTGATATGATGAATTTGAGATTTTAATTTGTTGTCATTTGTAATCATCAAAATTAAACAAAATAAACATCTGAAATATATGAGTTTGTATGTAATGTATGAATATAATATACAAGTTTCACTTTTTAAATGGAATTACTGAAATCAATCTACTTTTTCATGATATTCTAATTTTATGACCAGCACCTGTAGTACCCAAGGTGCTGATTTTAGATTGTCTTTTTGGATTTTTGTGAGCAATGGGTAGCTTCTTTCAAAACTTGTGCTTTTATATTTTATCTTATTGAAATACTATTAAAATGAAACTAAGCGTATTCCTCTCTATGATTCCACTTTATAAAAGATGATAAATATTTTCATATATATATATTCCTAAAGTACAGAATATGAGATTAAGTTGCTATGCTGCCCTCTAGTGTTCCTTATTGAGCACAGCATAAAAATTGCCATAACTGGGGGGGGTTATGCTATACATGTTTGTTTGTTTATTGATCTAAGAAAACATCACCATAAATATGTCACATTATCTTTGTGATTTTGCTTTGCTAGACTAAAAGGTGAAGTAATTACCGGACTGAGTCTTGACTTGACAGCTAGTTTAATTAAAATAGGTCTGCCCTGAAGCTGCTGGCCGCCTGGCACAGCAGTCTGAGTAGAGGAAACCAGAATTCATTTTTCATTACAAGGGCTGACTGACATATTGCGTAATAACCATTTATACGAGCAGCTCAGCACCACTCAGACCTCAATGGTAACTGAGGGAGGTTTTGTATAATGAAAGGATCATACAAAAGAAAATTAAAATCATATAAAATGTACTTTGGTTGTAGATTTGTTAATTGATATCAGCTGTCCTTTATGGGGTAACACTCTCCCCCCAACAAGATAATTCTGCGTCTTTTTGTGTGTTTTACATCAAAAGTCAAAATGAATTCTTGTTTAGTCTAAAAACAAAAATTTAAGAGTCTTCACTGAAGACCTTTTGATATAAATTCAGGTTCTCAGCTTTGCTCCTTGAATCTATCTAATGTGGAAAAATAATCTTTATTAAACATAATCTTTATATCTTTTTTCTATTTTCTTTTTTGCATCCTTGGCTTATTAGCTCATTGTTTGATCTTGGTTTGTTTTTGTTTATTCTTTTTCTAAGCATTATGAAACAATTTTGATGCCCTGAATGTGTAAAAAAAAAAAAGAAAAAACACCTGCTCTCTGTGTACTATTTTCAAACTGAACTTAGTGAAATTTGATTGATCACAAGTTACACCAGTTTTTGAAATTAGAAAAGAAAATACTCACATTAGAATTTATGAACAAAAACAAAAAGCTAAAATCAATTGATCAATTTTAATTAAAAAACATAATTCTGCATTAATATTAGATTTGTTTTTGTCTGACAGAATGATAAAACACTTGTGAGTCTCTAATAAGTATTCCCCATCTGATGGGCCTCAGGTCCTTTTGACCCTGGGGACCAATTTCAGTGGTACACAGCACATGGTGCTCTGCTGAATGAGCAACCCACCCCACCTTAAACCCCCTCCTGCCCCACCAGTGTAAGAGTAGGGGGGACAAGATGAAGGGATTTAAGGCTTGGTTGCCTGGGAAACCAATAATGCCATCTGTCATGAATCTTGATCCACATCATGTAGCTGAGACATTGTTTTAATTTAATCATATTCTCAAGGCAAGCCAGGCTTCTTGGTAAAACACTTATAGTTATCTGGAAAGTTATACATTTATTTCCTGAAAATATAATAAAACCTTATCACTTAAAGGAAGTGAAATCCCTAAGAAATGTCTTTCAGGCTTTTTCAGGCTTTAGTTATGATCAAGTCTGCATTCCAGGTGCCGAGGGACTGTTTATTTACCCTATAAATGCTTCTGAGCCATTGTTAAAATGACTTTAACAGTCCTTTTAAATGTCATCAGTGTCTCTACGATACCAAACCTGTTTCTAAGGCAGGGCAAGACTTCAAAAAAGAATCAGGATGTGATTTGGGCTGGGTGAGATTACTGTCTAGTAAATGTTTGTAAAAATCATGAGATGAAGAAGAGTAAACAATGCATTTTAACAAAAATTTTTTAAAATGTTTACAACAGTATTGCAGAGATGAATACTAACCAGAGAAAGGAGAGAAAGGTCAGAGAGTGGCGTTCTGAGGGAGGAACTGAGGACGGTCTGTTGGAGGTGGAGGACATGTCCCCAGAGAGAGAACGCAAATTAAACTGCAGGCACACTTTGGACAGAAAATAATACGGTGTGAATATATTGGTGTTAATTTTGTAGCCCACCACCTACTATATATATCTGATTGATATAACACATGGTCATGATAAAGTCAATTATTTTACATCCATGTAGTATGCAGTTCTTCATTTATACACATACACATACATTTCAAACAGATGGTATCGTATCTGTATCGGCCAATACTGCATGGCCAGATATCGAGTATTGGTATCGGGGCCAAAAAATGGCATCAGCACAACATTAGTTGTAATGGAAATAAGGGGTTTAACAGTATCCTGTTTTACAACATTTTGTATCACAAGTGTTACAAACCAAATGCACCAAAAATAGTTAATTTTTACTTTCTTGATTAAATTATACATTCATCCTTAAATGCAGTTAAACGCAGACCCTCAGCAGGTCCCCATAAATGAGCTTCAGACATAATTCTGGTTGGATATATGTCCAGTGAAAGAAATGGTATAACTGGTTAACAATGTTTAAAAGTTTAATAATAAGACAAGGATCAGCCCTCCTATTCTTAATAAGTATTCAGCAGGGATTGCAGAAATATCTTGAGATAATAACAAGCAGTAGCTTTTCAGTAAAGTTGTATTAAATTATTTACTGAAATGTATGCAAATATTTCAATTGCATGTAGAATGTTGAATGTATAACAGAAAAAAATAATCATGTAGCTGTTTTTTGTGTGAAAGTTTTCACATTTGTCCTTCCACTCTATAAGGAAAACAAAAATCTCTAAAATCCTGAAAATAATATAAATTTAATGCCAATAAGTACCTCTTAACTTTTCATTGACACGGTATGCATTTGCTTTCCTGCTAAATACCTCCTGCATAAATATTCTCTCAGCACTAATTATGTTCAACAAATACTGCCTGCATAATTTTCAGTTAGCTTAATTTTGCTGTGGGGTTTGAATTTGCTTTGCAATTCATGTGAGAATACTTATAACTAAAAGTACAATTGTGTTTTGTTTGAGATATTATCTCACAGCCAAAAGCCTCAACATGAAAGTCTGTGGATAATTTATTGTAAGGGCTTAAACGAAACTGCTGGAGGAGTAAAAATAACAAAAAAAATCATGAGGAAATAGAGATAATTAATAGGAATAAACATGCAGAGTTTTAAGAAGCTCGCTCTTATGCTCCTGCATTGAAAACCTGGAAATAAAACATAATTTAAAATCTTAGTAGATAAAAAACACTGATAATATCTCCAGTTTAGGTTCTTGTTCATCTGATCTCACTTTGTAATGTGACACCAGAAAGTTGCAGGCGTGTGCATGAAGTCATGTTTTAACTCTTCCCCCTGTTTCACTCATTCTCAGATGGCTAGACTGAGGCAGATGAACATCTGGTTCTAAGTCATATGTGCTTGTGAGTGTGGGGACAATTAGCTGTAGAAGAAACAAAGCACTTCTTTCAAAAGGTGTTGGAGTTTGGCAAGTATATTCTTTTTATTTCAACCCTTACATAGTTAAACCTATGTAAACAGTGTATTAATAAAACCCCTTTAACTGCTTAAACAGCTGGATCTAAATTAATTCAATTCGCTCATTTTATTTTAACACTTTAAATGTAAGCCTACTTGTATAAAACCGTTCAATATACTGCAGTTGTCTAGAAAGTTTAAATTGTATTTTTGATGTAGTTATTGTGATTTTTGCACAATTCTGTTTTTTTACATATAGTAATCAATCAACTTTGACGCTATTTATCATGTCACATTAGGAAGTGCAAGCAGTAAGATTATCTTGATATATTGTTTTGTTCTGTTTTTTAGTTATAAATGCTGGGTTTTTTTTAAACTAATTCAAGTTTAAAATTTATAACTTTTTCTTGTATGTCAGGGCAAGGCAGCATGAATTAGAGCTCTTCCATCTCTAAAGATACAGAGTTTAGGTCCCCTCAAGTTGCATAATTTTTTCTTTATCCCCAAACTCTTGAGATATAAAGTGATACAGTTCTAACAAATGAAAGATATACTATAATTTGTAAGACAAATACATTAAAAGTTATTAATCTAATTTATTTAGACGAATGGTAAAAAGCATTTCTGATCTAACCGCTAAGATCTGGTGTTTAACTAAAGACCAAAACATTGTGGAACCTTTCAGTTTTAATAGTTAACACTGGCTGCACTATGACAGTGTATATGAAAAAATTCCTTTTGCTTCTCCATCCTAAATAAACATTATTTAGCTGTATCTATGCCACGTTTGGTGGCTAAAACTGTTAGCTGGTTGTGAAAGAGCTTTTTGCCAAATACAAGCTCTGGTTTTATTCCCAGTGGAAGCAAGTGTCAACGATGTGTTGAAAAACATATTTGCTCAGACCATAAATCACCTTCACGTTTTCCTAATATAGCTACAGTACAACACTTCTGCAGCTTTTTAAGACATTGATTAATCTCAGATTGCGTGCCGTTTCAACTGATTCCAACTAAATGCTGTGAAAATTCTTAAAAGGGCAATTAGGAGCTCAGAGATACTACTGGAGAAAATCCGTTTAGCAAACATTCAAGGTTGGCGAAATTAAATGAGGTGGAATAGAAACATGACTCATGCATGGACTTGTGGGTGTGTGTGCGTGTGTGTGGGTGTGTGTGCTGACAGAATCTACACTTAGTTCTGCAGGAGTATAAAGGCTGCTAGTGTCTGAGAAGTGAACCTTTTGTTGACCTCCGTCTGGTCTTCCCAGTAGAGCTGTCCTGTAACAGAGGCGTGAATCTTGCACCTGGATGCGTTCTTAGAGGGGGCTCTCGTGGTCTTTGGGTCAACCAATAAAACCAACCTAAACCCCCCCCCCCCCCCCCCCTTTGTAAGCCTTTGGCTTACAAAGGCTCTTTTTAACCATGTAATCTAAAATAAAAATTTTATTTAAATATTTAAAATCAGTGGCATTTCAAAGCTTGACATTGAATTTAATACATACAAGAAGTGGGATTTTTTTTTTTTACTCATCATTTCTGATTAAAATGTTGCACCAACTCAGCAGTAGTTGCTCTCGTAAGAAACAGAAAATTAAACCTCTTCTGCCTAAATGTGAAATATTGTGTATTGCACATCACCCTGAACATGGAGACATGTAGGGGTGCTTAAAGTATTATGATGGCCTATAGAAGGGGGTTCTTTTCAACTGGACCGGGCAAGATTTCTAATATCTTTGTACAGATTAGGCATTCTTCTTTTTGCTTTGTACAGTTTTCAGGTTAAATATATGGATGCAATGAGATTCCAAGGTGTGCCAGAGCCTGTTTCACTGTAGGCATCATAATAGTGCTACTGTAGGAAGTAAATGTTTGTCCTACAGCAGACTGCTTTCACGCTAGAATAGACTGTAAATAAAAAATCTAAGTGATCAAAGTTTCCCTGAGCTTGGCAATACTATATGCTATAAATCAAAACCAAAGCTATCTTGAGATAGGTTGGATACTGAGAACCTTTTAAAAAACATTATTTTTTTTTACTTTTAAACACCCTTGATGCCCATAAAGATACTGGCTAATGTCTTTCCGAACAGGGTTACCTTTGTTTCAGTCTGTCTTTGCTCACTGTGAGACTAGTCCTTATTCGTATTTGCATCAATCCTATTTTATTTGACTACCAAAATAAGCAAGGGATGCTTTGAATGTTACTATTACTAGGAACTAGAGGGTAAAGTCACGATAGCTTTCACATAAAATTTCACAAAATGTTTTTTTTGTGGCCACCACAGATGCATCTTGGTAATCACCTTCCAAACCACAGCAGACCGGTCCTCCAGACTATACCCCAAAGAAAAAGTATTTGTCATCAGACATACAGCATGTAAGACGTGTATCTATCCACAGTTAGGGGTTCAAATAGGAGTAGCTCACTTCAATGTAGTTTTACTGAAGAACAAGTCAAATTTAGGTAGAAAAGAAATACAAAAATCATAGTATTTAGAAAAACGCCACTTGAACACAACTTTTGATTTGATTTGTGAAAATGATGTTTTCTCTATAAAGTCACATGCAAATGTAATCTGTTCATACTTTTTCCCTTTAAAGGGATTGTTGTCTTAAATATGTTTTAGAACATATTTAGATTTGACTTAGTTTCGAAAACATAAAAGAAAAAAAAAATTGTTCCACCACTCAAGTGTTACGTTTCAATCATGGGTTATGTGGAAATGAAAAATGAAAGCGGGCGTTTGTTTGTTCTGTCTAACTCCAAATAACACCTGTGACTTGCTGTTTGTGTTGTCACCTTAATTCTAGTTGGTTAGTCAGAGTATTGTTGATAGTAAGAGCATGTCTCTGCAAGGGGCCAAGCTTTATGAGGGAATTTACTCTGGGAACAGAATAAATGAGCCATGTAGCAGTACCAGGAGACTGGCTCTGGGTAATGGCTGTACATCTTATTAAACAGAACCTGTCTACAGTCAGTCAGTTTAATCCCTTTGATTAATGGATGTCTGTAGTATTGTTTGGTTAGAAATACAAAGTGTGTGCATCAAAGAATATGTTGCAGCCAAAGTGTGGTATGCTTCAGCACATTGTTTTTGTTGGCTCAGTGTGTCTACCACAGTGGTTGCACACTAAAGATCCCTCTGTTTCAATCTTGATTATGATAACCCTTGCAAACCACTATTTTATCTGTTAGGGGGGGATTGGGAGCAAATATTCACTTGACTCAATGATGCACTGATTTCAATTTGGATATGCCAAATTTATCTTGGCCATTAGAAACTTACACCCAATACCTTATTACCGGTATTTTGCCAAAATATTCCTTATGATTTTCAATTCTTTGCTTTATTGTTTTTTTAAATGCGGAATCATCCCTTAGTCGCATCAAAATATTGAGTATTGATTACTCTCCTACAGTTCTTTGCTAAAGTATTCATAGCCCTTTAGACTACTTGACATTTTCCCACACTTCAAATGTTCTACCAAGCACTGTTCAGTAAAGTCATGAATGTCTCTTTAAGAGAGCAACAAACCTACCAAGAACTGACCGTCATTTGAAACTGAGTACAAGGAGGGCATAGATAAGAAAAGCTGCTAAGAGGACCATTGTAGACCTTAAAAAGCTCCTAATATCCATAGCTTTGTTCACAACAGAACTATTCTGCTTGCATTCTTTAAAGAGGCATTACAGAGTTTTCTTATGATGCTCCCACCTCTGGCCAAAACATGAACTTCAGCACTCTTCCGCTCGTTCTTGTTGCTCGCACTGGTACTTGACAAGTTTTTGTTGCTGTTTTTTTACTTTTTTCACCTTGCATAGAGTTCCCATTGGTATCTGAGTTGAGCTGGATGCTGGTTACTTCTGAGTATTTACAAAGTCCATCTTAAATATATTGTCTACATTGTTCCCTACGTCAGATCCATAGAAGTATCAGAACTCATATTTGCAGTATCAAACTTTGTTTTGATCAATTTCAGCAGCAAGGGTAAAAGGTTTTAAATCTCAGCATAGATTCTTTCTGCATGGAGTTAGCACAACATCTGTCTTCATGCATTGGGTCTCTCTGGGAACTCTAACTACCTTCCACAAGTTCATTTGTGTCCATAAACTGTTTTTAGATATGTACATGTGCATACATGGGTGTGTTAATCTTGCCCTTTGATCGACTAAAAAGTATCCCATAGTCTTTGATCCCTTTGATGGCCTGGCAACCTATTCAAGTTTAACCCTGTTTCCTACCGAACAAGTGTCAGACAGCAGCTTTCATGTGACCCTGCATGGATAGGTTGGTATAGACAATGAATTTTGGAAATCACTTCCTAAAACCAATGTACACTGAATTGGTAATAGAACATTAGTGTTTGAACATTGGCTATAATTACTCAATAACTCATTCTTTTGGACCACAAAGAGCATGGCTTCACTCACAAGTGTAGGCCTATTTAAACAAAAAAAATCCAAACCACATTATAAAAGGTTCATATATTAAAACACAAGTATGAAACTGTATTGTTTAATAGTACTTTCCCCAAGTTAGCCACAAGACAAGATCTTTGCAATGACTTACTGTACGCAATAGGACAAGTCGAAATGATAATCACCTCACAGATGAATGAATGAATGAATGAATGAATTAATTAATTAATTCAACGTTATTGTCATTACACGGTCACAAATACAAAGCAATAAATTTACCTCTTTGCATTTAATCCATCCCCTTTTGAAGGAGTGGGCTGCCATCGTGGGGCGCCCAGGGTGCAGTGTGGGATTAAGGGTTTTGCTCAGGAACCGAGAGTGGCAGTCGGTAGGAGTGGGGCTTGAACTCCGAACATCTGGGACCCAAGAGCAATGCCCTAAGCACTAGGCCGCCACTCATGCTAGGCAAAGGCACTGCTGGGAAATGGGGGGGGTTAATATACAAACGCAGATATATTTTAAGCTTTTTTTTTCTCTTGGAGGCTCTGTTCTACTTCTGCCAGGATGACGTTGAAGTTTTCCCTATCAAACAAGGAAAATATATTTGTTTACCTATACATTTGTATACGCAACAAAATTAGGTACTTAAGTTAATATCTGGACAGTTATTCCTGGTGCCTCTTAGACCACATGCAAAATGAGTTCAGTGGGTGAATGTTTTCTGTGTATGTTATTTTGGGATCTAACCAATGGAACTACTATTTTACTAAATTGATTTAGTTTTTAGTGGAAGCTTTGAATGATATACAAGCATAACGTTTATTAAATTTTAATGGATTTAGGATATCCATCCCTCATTAACTGCAAACAGAATGCACAAAAAATGTATTTAAAAAATCAGATGGTTTTAGTTTTACTTGTTACACATTTGTGCATTAAAATTCATCACTTATATTTGCAGAAGCTTGCCAAGTGAAATAGAAAGGATGACTACAACCAGCCTTGATGACCCTCAAAGTCCGAGAAACCTAACTGGATTGGCTGTGAGTTCCCCCCTCTCTCAGAAGTACAGACCCTCAGGGCCAAGCCTATCATGTCTACAGGAGTACAACCAGTGGTTACCTATCCGCCATGACGCCAGCCTCTTCTCCATGAAAGAAGATCTAGCTCTCTGGCTAAACTCCATCATGGGTGAGAAATCTCTATGTTGCAACTGAGTACAGTCTCTTCTTACAACTAGCTGAATGAGCTGAATGCTTCTTTCAATGCAGTTTTTCCACTGGGCAGAGCCATAATTGACTAAAACTTAAAGTTCTTTACAACTGCTTTAAATGGAAAGAAAAACATAGTTTTTCTTTTACTGAACAGTCACAGGTGTTTTCCCATCTAGAAACCTAAAGATGTCAATGTACATTTATAACCCCCTAACAGTACTTTTTAGACTTATGCTTACTTTATGGTTTCTGGTCTTTGTAGATGAAGAGGAAAAAAAAAACATTAGCTTGATTAAAGTATGCCCTATTTAAGTATATGTCTTTTGCACAAAAACAAATCAAGCTAATTGTTTTCCCAAATCCCTGACATCCCTCCAAAGTCAACAATGTTTCTTTCAACTTTGCTGCATTATGCAGGAAAAAGAATCTGCACATGTCAGAGCGTGTTGAAAGATTCCGGTTAAAGTGATTCAGACTTGATACATTTCTCTCATAAAAGTGTCCTGTTTTAGATTCCCTGTTTTAAATGCATTTCTCCTCACCATGATCTTAACTTTTCAGTGAATTATGAATAAACTCACCCTCATGAATGAAATTGAAAATACAAAGTTAGGTAAAGGCTTTGTTCTCACTGTATGCTTGATCTGCGTATTTTAAAGCAAGTTAGTGTGTTTGTGTGTATTCCTCAGGGTTAAACCTCACTGCAGATAGTTTCATGGAAAAGTTGGACAATGGCGTTCACCTTTGTCAGCTGGCACAGGTGCTCCAAGAGAAAATGATCCTTGACAACAATGACAAGGTGCACAAAATAAATATTATACATACACACAAAAATATAAGTATATATATATATGAAAATTGTAGATTCACACTGAAGGCATCAAAACTATGAATTAACATGTGAAATTATATAATTTACAAAAAACTGCATAGCAACTGAAAATATGTCCCATATTCTAGGTTAATCAAATTAGCCACCTTTTGCTTTGATTACTGCTTCGCACACTCTAGGCCTTCTCTTGATGAGCTTCAAGAGGTAGTCACTTCACAGGTGTCCCCTCTCAGGTTTAATAAGTGGGATTTCTTACCTTGTAAATGGGGCTGGGACCATCAGTTGTGTTGTGCAGAAGTCAGGTGGATATAAAGCTGATAGTCCTACTGAATAGACTGTTAGAATTTGTATTATGGCAAGAAAAAAGGAGCTAAGTAAAGTAAAACGAGTTGCCATCATTACTTTAAGTAATGAAATTCAGTCAGTCTGAACAATTGGCAAAACTTTGAAAGTGTCCCCAAGTGCAGTTGCAAAAACCATCAAGCGCTACAAAGAAACTGACTCACATGAGGACCGCCCCAGGAAAGAAAGACCAAGAGTCACCTCTGCTGCAGCAGATAAGTTAATCCGAGTCACCAGCCTCAGAAATAGCAGGTTAACAGCAGCTCAGATTAGAGACCAGGTCAATGCCACACAGAGTTCTAGCAGTAGACACATTCTAGAACAACTGTTAAGAAGAGACTGTGTGAATCAGGCCTTCATGGTCGAATAGCCGCTAGGAAACCACTGCTAAGGACAGGCAACAAGCAGAAGAGACTTGCTTGGGCTAAAGTACACAAGGAATGGACATTAGACCAGTGGAATTCTTTGCTTTGGTCTGAGTCCAAATTTGAGATCTTTGGTTCGTACCATTGTGTCTTTGTGCGACGCAAAAAAGGTGAACGGATGGATTCTATATGCCTGGTTCCCACCGTGAAGGATAGAGGAGGATGTGTGATGGTGTCGGGGTGCTTTTCTGGTGACACTGTTGGGGATTTATCCAAAACTGAAGGCCTACTGATCCAGCATGGCTGCCATAGCATCTTGCAGCAGCATGCTATTCCATCCGGTTTGCGTTTAGTTGGACCATCATTTTTTTTTTCAACAGGACAATGACCCAAAACACACCTCCAGGCTGTGTAAGGGCCATTTGACCAAGAGGGAGAGTGATAGGGTGCTGTGTCAGATGAGCTGGCCTCCACAATCACCGGACCTGATCCCAGTTGAGATGGTTTGGGGTGAGCTGGACCATGGAGTAAAGGCAAAAGGGCCAACAAGTAATAAGTATCATAGGTTTATATATAGGTATCTATAATAACAACTCCTTCAAGACTGTTGGAAGACCATTTCAGATGACTATCTCTTGAAGCTCTTCAAGAGAATGCCAAGAGTGTGCAAAGAAGTAATCAAAGCAAAAGGTGACTACTTTGAAGAACCAGAATATTAGATATATTTTTTGTTGTTTCACACTTTTTGTAAAGTATATAATTTCACATGCGTTAATTCATAGTTTAGATGCCTTCAGTGTGAATCTACAATTTTCATAGTTGAAAATAAAGAAACCTTATATATATATATATATATAGTATAATAGTGTATATATATATATATATGTATATATATATATATGTATATATATATATATATATATATATATATATATATATATATATATATATATATATATATATATATATATATATATATATATATATATATATATATATATATATATATATATATATATATATATATATATATATATATATATATATATAGTTTATTACACAAATAAACCAAGAAGAAATGGAAAAGAATTTAACACTGCAGTCCTAATTTATTCCTTACAACTCATTATAGCCTTTTGTCAAAAGAGTGATCCACTGGCGAGCTGATGCTACTTCTGGATCCTTTTTTGCCCGAGACAATACTGCTAACTTCCTCTACTGGTGTCAAAAGATTGGAGTTGATGAAGCATACCTTTTTGAGTCTGAGGATTTGGGTGAGTTACCCTGGATTTTTGTTTCACCTCAAACATGACATGTTTCTCCCTTTGCAATGAAAAAAAAAACCTCTTATGTAGCTCCTTTGTTTCCTGTGTTTCATAGCTGGGTGAACAGAATAATCCAGGTGTGCCTGACCTCGGTAACCATTACAACAATGATTGGACACACCTGGATTAATCTGTTCATCCAGTAATGAATGACAGGAAACAAAGGAGCCGCTTTAAGTCCAAGAAGTAGTGGAATTGTTCAAAGAGCCCATTGTGCATTTAATTCAAAGCAAAGGCTTTTGAACTTGGAATTGTAAAATGTGACAAGAGGTTTGATCAAATTTTGTTTTAGAGATCCAATGCTGTTATTTTTGGTCTGGTTTGTTAACTACTTTCTAAGAATATTATCTGAAAGAATTGGTATAGAATGTCATCTATATGTTTTGCTGTTCAGATCTAATGTTATATCAAGAACCTAGATTTGTATGAGTTATTTTGCTTTTTACTTTAAAACTTTTAAATAATGTTTGAATACAAATACTTAAATTGGCCATTTATGATTTGAAGATAATAAGTACCAAGTACAGTTGGAGTTTTCAAAACAATTGAAGCCTTTAAAATATAATTTTGTGTTTACCCAAAAAATTCATAAGAGACAGTATGGAGGACATTAAGGTCTGTCACTAGATTAAATTTTACTTTATTCATACATTTGTATTTCTACTGGTGTTCTACTGGTTTACTTTGTATTGAATGTTTTCTATGTTGCCTGATTTACTGAGTACGATCCCTTAGTTTCTCAGCTTCATGGACTATATAGCTAACTCAGGCATGTTTAGTATTCAGGTAATCAAACACTGTTTTCAAACAATGTTTTGCACTTAGTTTTCTAAGTCTGTGTTTTATAACCAGCTTGTTTTCTTTAGTCCATTTACTACTAAAATCAGCTACAATCATGAACAGTTTTAACATCTCAGGTTTTTGTGATGTAAGAAAAAAATCATGAGTGTTCTGTCTAATTCAACTAAAAAAAACTGCAAAAACCTAGATGTATAAAGGTGTAAAACTCATAAAAGTAACACTGTTTTAGAGTCTATATTGATTTGATTTCAAACTTGGACTTAATGACTTAAAACATGTCATCAAGAATCCTGTAAACCTGAAAGAAATTTCAGACAACTAGTGCTAGTTTTCTACATGGCAACAATCTTCCTCTTATGTCTGGACAAGCGAGCTGGGCTGAAAGAAACAGCTATTTTCTTAAAAAAAAAAAAAAAAATTAATAAAGCATGACCATAGCTCATTATATCTGTTAAGTTAATGTTTTATGAAACCAAACCTGAACTTTTCTCAGTAATTTAAAAAACAAACGCTACACATCATCAAAAGGACACCATGCGTGCAGTAAAATGGAAGGGAGAAGATATTTTGTTCTCCAGCACCACAGTAAGTTTAACCAAAACAATGGCTAGACAGGCTAAACAAAGATTAACATATACTAATAAAACAAATATAAACAGTCTTTTACATCTTAACCAACAACAAACTTAATGAATTACAGACAAGTGTAGTTTAGTCTTTTCAGGCTTACTTTTCTCTGCACGCCTCCAACTCAGGCATGTCTAAGCAAAGCCAGAGATGCGTGATAATGATAATATGCAGGTAAATCCTTCCAGACAATATGTGACAGGAAGCATGCTAGGCTTTACACCTGCTTAAAAAAAAGCATCTTCCCTTGATCGAAGCATCATCTTCTTTTCTAATGTATTCCGCTAATTAGTCATCCCAACAATTTCTATTTTGATTAAATATTTTGTTTCAGTCAAATCTAAGTGACCTAAATAATCTTTTTTTTTTTTTTTTACTGAAGAGAAGATATTGGGACACAGTTTCTTTTATCTTTAGTTAATATTTAAAGCCCCTGTGCCCTCATCTTAAGGATCCCTAAGGAATTACTGCTCACCTTTAAGGAGAGGAAAGCACAATGAAAGAGGATATTCCCTGTCTCTGGCCCTTCAGCTGGAGCTGCCATCTCCTTTTGTGAAAAACGGATGTTTATCTCCAGAAACCTATTTTTCTTTCAGAAGGATCACATTTCCCTGCTCTTTTTTTTTTTTCATTGTCATGTCTAAATGAAGTTCTCCACAAGCAACCTCGGAAGGTGTGTCTATGCCTCTTGGAGCTGGGACGGATTGCAGCCAGGTAAACTAAACTTGGCACAAGATTTACATTTGCTCTTCTGGTACTCTTGTTCAGAAAGTTGGGACAAAAAGGTGAATTGTGGCTTTACATTAAAAAAAGATATAAGATTATTTCTTGATTATTAAAATATTAGATATTATTAGGTGTGAAAAAAGCCTTTAAAATGCTTGGGTTGTTTGGAGGACTTAATAATAATCTAAAGACAACCAATCTAAGTATTTATTAAACAATCCATCTTTTATATGTTTTCTCATCGCTTTTACTTTAAGTTTTTTGTGTTTCATTGTAATCAGCAACACATATTCTAATTTTTTTATTCAAGCAGTGTTTCAATGTTTCACTTAGTCATGATTAGAAATCATTGAACAGTTAGATTTTATGTTCGTTCTTAAATATTGATTTATCTTTTATCCTACGTCCAGGTATGGAGTGGAGCCGTCAGGGCTGGTGAAGCTGGAAAAAGAGAGAGAAAGAGAGGGGGCTGAGAGCTTATCTCCGTCATCTCCTCTCTACTTCTTATATCCTACATCATTGTACTCACAGCCAACATCCTCCTTACCCCAAGACCCCTCCCTTCCTCCTTCACCTGCCCCCCTCACTTCGAACACAACCTCTCTGCCTGAACCTCTTTCTGACTGCGTTACCTCTGATTTTCCATCAGCCACCACAGACCCTCTACCTACATGCTTGCCCCCTCCCCAGCCCCCCCTCCCAGTCTCTAACCTTTGTACAAGCACAGCCTCAACACAACCCTCTTTGTTGTCTTCATCCTGCACCACTGAAACATCTGCTTCAGCTCTGCTGTCAGCAAACCTAACAGACCAAACCCTGGGATCCTCTGCTGAAGTCTGCCCTGACACAGAAAACAAACAGACTCCAGCAGCCTGCAAATCTACCATCCCCTCCCAACAACCCACACAAACTGCTCGCTCTTCCAACAAGTCCCGAAAACCGAGGAGCATGAGCACAAGCACTTTGGATGATATGGTATGCTTTTAACTTCCAGTCAAGTAAGCTTTGTTTTGGCCTAATTCATTATGGTCCATACCCTAAAATGCCATTATTATTTTTTGTACCCATTAGGTGAAGAGCATTATTGAAAATCCTCCCTGCAGCTGTCCCACCAGGTTTCCTGTTGAGAAGCAGCCGAAAGGCTGCTACCGTGTTGGGGAAAAGGTTCTGTATTTACGGGTAAGAATCCCGCTGACTTAGTCTAAGAAAGATTCATGTTACACAAATAAACGAAATATGAGCAACCTTTAACTGGCTTTAACAATTTAGACCATATCCATTCCTAGAATTGCAGAAAATCCTTAATATAAAATATTTCAAAAATGATACCTATATTGAGGTAGTTTGAAACACAAACCAAAGTTTATTCTGACTAGGTTAGAAACAGCTCCAGATCCGACTCAGTTAAACTCAGTTTTGTTTATTTCATCCAGTTCAATTTAATTAATTTATATTGCACCAATTCACAGCACATGTCATCTCAAGTCTCTTTACAGAGACAATTCAACCAAGTCATTCAGACCAGATTTGTTCAGAGTTTTCTATCTCAGAAAACCAGCTGATTGCATCGACTCATTGACTAAACAGCAATCCCTCAACCCGAGCATGTGTGAGAGGAAAAACTCACAACAGAAAACATTTCAGATGGTTGCTTAATAATTTGCATAATGTAAAAGCATAATCATATCAAAGCCTGTTATGCAACAATTGTCCAGTAAACAACTAGGGCAACCAATGGAAAAGTAAGACAAAAATAACTGTAAAAGAATAGAAAGTGGTGTATCCAAGAATAGTATGTTTATCCTGGGTCGTCCCCTGGGCCTCCTTCTGGTGGCACCTGCTAGGAACACCTCAGAGGGGGCATCTGAACCCATCTTAACCAACTCAGCTCAATTTGGAAGAGCAGGGGCACTGCTCAGAGTCCCTCCCGGATGACCATGCTCTTCACTATACCTCCATGGGAGTGCCCAGCCAATCTCTGGAGGAAGTTCATATCAGCCGTATGGTTTTTCATTCTTTTGGCATGACACAGATTTCATGACTGACCGGCAAAGGTCTTCTATCAGTTTGAAAAATCCTCTGTTCATTTTCACATCACTTATGAACATGAACCCAAGATACTTAAACTCCACCATTTGAGGCAGGAACTCACTTCTGACCTGGAGAGGACAAGTTATCCTTTTCCAGTTAAGAACTGTGGACATTTGGGGCACTGATCCTTATCCAGTCTAAAAGAGAAAATATGGAAAATTAATATTTGGATTAAATGCTGTTGTCTCGTCCTTCATAGGTTTATATTAAAGAAGAAGGATTAACAGGAGACCAATGCCCTATAGCTGAATTTAATTTCTCTTTTAACACTCCTTAAAACTATAGAAATAACAAAGAAAGGCATGACTTGTCCTTAAACTGTTTAGACTTTATGAGATTTAGTTAGCAACAAGTGGATTGTGTCAGCGAGCCTGATATTCAGTCAGCATGTGACTTTCAGACTGCTTCAGTCACGCTCGACTCATATGCATCCGCATGGAGGATCAAGAAATGGGAGGCAGGGTTGCCTGGCAACCAGTGGTCAAGATCAGATTCGGCTGACAATGATTGTATTCAGGATGTAGACCCTCAGCGAACAGTACAAAAACTGGAGGAAAAACAAAAGTGGTTCTCTGAGGATGAGTATGCAGCGATGTGACCCTCGTGTGTGGTTTAAATGGCAGACCTCATGGGGGCCCGAACCATTTGGGAGAAAAGGTTTTAAACATTAGAAGGGAGTTCTTTTCACACTCTTTTTGCATCCATCTGCACAAATAAACAGCATTTATGTAACATAAACGATTGCAGGGCATACTATCTAAGTGCATTAGCTCTTCATTTTTAGCAATAGAGGAAAATTTTTTATAATATTCCTCTATCGTGAGTAATCTAAATCTACTCACAAAGGTTGCCTAGAACATTAAATGACAGTCTAACTTGTAATAATTTTGGTCACTGGCTAAAACTTCTCAATGAATAGTTTCTAAAGTAGCTGTTGCTGATACAAGGAGGAAATTATCTTAAATGCAACATTTTCATTTTTAGTTTTGCTGCTCCTTTTAAAGATGGATGCACATCTTTACATCAAGAAAAACCTTTGCTAAGTGAAAGCTATAAGGCAGCAAATGTCTGAACACCAGTAAGATGACCGAGATATTATAACCAAAGCATGTCAAAAGACTTTAACATTTAGTATACTAAACATGATTTGTTTTATTGCAGCATTTGAAAGATTGGTCTACGGCTCACCTTCTTTGTTTTTCCTGTTGCACACATCATTTTTTTATTTACAGCATGTAAACATACTGTGTCCAGTTGTCAGTGTTTTGTCATAATTACCAGTTCAGACAACAACTTTATTTTCTCATTTCCCTTTTGCTGTCAAGCGACCACATCTCAGTCGTCTAAGCAGAGCAACACGGCCCATTGACCCTCATGTCATTTATTACCTTAAAGCCAACAGATTTCCGTGCATGAACAGGGAAACATGCCATACACCTCAATTAGCATACACCGTGATAACCTCTGTGCAGCTTCTGGGAAAGCACTTGGTGTGTGCAGACCTTTTTAAAGAGCAGATACTATTGATTACCGAGGCAAAGTCATTAGCAAGGGGCTTTAATCAGACAGCTTGTTAATGAGCGGCGGAGCATGACTGCCCCTCCTCATGTGTAAACTTCACAACCAGCCCCTCCTGCCCTCCTCCACCCCCCATTCCCTCTGGAGACTATTCAATCATGCTAGCTGTGGAGTGCTTTGCCATTCTTTAGGGTTGAAAAAGAGGAAGGCTTTCCTTTCTTTCTGAAACCAATTAGGTTTTCCTTCAGCTTTGTAGCACGGATACACTCTGATGGGGTCCATAGAAAGGAAATCCTTTTAAACAGTCCTGGATCATCATGCAAACGCATTTCATTTCATTTTGTAGATATCTTATTCTAAAGATGATGTATCTGCACAAAATAATAAAAGGAAGAAACTATTTCTTCTTTCATGGTTTTATTATTCTATTTGTAAACCAATTTATAGTTTCCCATTTAACATTGACAAAATGAATTAGTTGATCCTGTAACACATGTTGACTTCTGAGTCTAAAGCTGATGGAGAATATTGGAGATAATTAACCAAAAAGGAAGGTAACGGTGTACAAAATTTAGGTCTTCAATTTATTGTGCCAAATAACATATGAACTTTTATTGAATATATCAATTTCCCATTGATTCTACATCTAAACTTTGACAAAAGAAGATACACATTGGGGTAAAATAGGCTATAGTTGGTGTAAATCGATCGTTGGACAATGTAAACACTTGAAGCGCATGAAGTTGCTGTTGTCAAGTAAAATCCTGAGCTTATATCCATCTTATATTAACTGCTTTAGATGTAATGATAATATTATTAAAGTTGAACTGAGACAATTAGCCCTAAACGATGTTTGTGCAGGAAATACCACAGAGTGTCAAAGTACAATGATTCTTTAAAAGTTATTACAACAACAATCCTCAGGAGGATTTTCTCCACACACAACATACTGGTGCCTTTCAGACTAAACAGGCATCTTAGACAAAGGCTAATTCATCCTAAGAACAACACCTGAAATGTGTATGCAGAGCAAACCAAAACCATATCCAAAGTTGCATGGCCCAACACATGACTCAGGAGTGCACCTACACTTCAAGGATATGAGACACTTTTTGAAGACAAATATGTCTATATTTAGAAAGAAATATCAGATATTTTGAGATGGGGTAAGGGAGCCTCTTACATCAAACAAGACACAGTGTTTCAAATAGAGGGGGTTACATCAGATTCCTGCTCTCTAAAACCTGTATTTAAGCTATAAATTTGATGCAATTCCAGATTCACAGCGCAGTTTAAATATTCTTTTAAGGCTTCCTTTTTCTTTTCTGTTTCTTTCTGTACTGTAAATTCTAGATGTACTTCCTAAATATCACCCAATGTGGAGGTGGCTAAAGTCTGCCTCCTATTGGCCAGTCTTTGTCCCTGTCCTGACTAATCTCATGCATATTCGAGCAGAAGAGGAGAGAAAGAATCAATGGACCAGGCTGGGAGGAGGACACATGGGAATTCTGACAGTGGTGTATGGGCAACACACCTAACACTGTGTTTAGAGAAAAAAAAAAAGGGGGGGGGGGGGCTCCAAAGGGACACATATATAAACAGGTCAGTGCGCAAAAAGGACTTGTATATACATTTTTCCTAAGATAGAGAATACAGTAATAGGCTTAAAATGCAGAAACATAAACACCACCTTTTTTCCCTTAACAAATGAAATAGCAGTAAAATTGAAAAAAAAAAAAAAAAAAAACACTGCTTGGAAAAAAGATGGCCGGATTTAGATTCTTTTTTTTCATGATGTCTGGTGGGAGGTTTATCCAGACTTGACCCCTGTCAACCTTAACATTTTAATCGGCAAGATGACAGCTGAGCCAAACCTTGTCTGGACTTTCCTTTGAAGCTGCTCCAGTGGTCTGCCTCTTTGCGCATGTCTGTGCTTGTAGCATTGATCCCCCCCTTCCGACTGTCAGTGTGACATGTTAAACACACGTCTGCACATTAGAGGAGCAGATCTGCTTGTATTATCACAATCTTAATGGTTCAGTAATGAAGGGTTTATTGGCGATAGGGGCGGGCAGGAGGAGGAGGGGATGACAGTGGCAGAAAATTGATGGTTTTGCTAGGTCTCTTGAGAGATAAAGGTCTGTGCTGAAGTCATTTACATTTCTTCTTAATTTCCAAGGTTTCACATTGATAATCAACTCAATAGATTGTATTTTGATTAAGATTAAACCAAACGTATTGACACTATAACGAAGATATAGACTGACCATGTAGTGGTCCTTATTTTTGGTAGTGCCTTATATGCTTTGTATTACTAATTTATACATGTCTGTGCAAGTGTGTGTGGGGAGGGGAAGGGGCTGGTAGGTTGGGGTGTGAGCTTGCATGCTTATATCTGGATTAGAAGTGCATGTGTGCTCAGCTGGTGCCATGAGTTGCAATTTCATTTGATTTAATGAGATTCTGACAAAGCTACCCAGGAGATTATTCAGTCCTCATAGCCAGAGCAACACATGCACAAGAAGCTTGTGGTTATAACAGTTTTTTGTGTGTGTTTATGTTATGCTTTTGAAAGAAAAGGATCCACAACCTAACCTTCCTGTATCATGTCCCCTTTGCAGATGCTGAATGAGCGTGATGTTATGGTTCGAGTTGGCGGTGGGTGGGACGGTTTCATAAGTTACCTGCAGAAACATGACCCCTGCAGAGGTGGAGGAAGGGGGACACCAGGCAGGTCTGAGGTCAGGGGCTGCCGTGACAAAGTGAAGTCAGCAGGCCTGAAGATTTCAACAGAAAACTATATGGTGGTTGGTGTCAACCATCAGGTAAAGAAGTAGAGTCTGAAAGTCCTTCTGGCCTCAGGGTCAGTTATTTTAATCAAACTGCTTGAAAACGTTTTACCTCAGTGTTTATAACAAAAGCCATCTTTTTTTGTTAACTCTCTGCCAGAGAAAACTAATTTTCACCATATCTGTGATGCTTGCCACAATTACATTGCTTGAAAACGGCTCATTGAGTTATTGTTAAAAATATAACAGTAATTTGTCTATGTGTTTTATAAGTAAATGTCAAATAATGTATCTTAAATATTTCTTCCACTTTTATTAATTTTTACATCATTTAACAAATTAGATAAAATTCTCACACTTTGAGATGGGCAGAACAGTAGCCATGACACTGGGGTTCTGCGCTTTTAAACCATGTTTTTTCTCTGACCAGTACTTTATTATAATTTAGGCTCTGTTCACAATAGCTCACCCATCCCACAGAGGATAATCCCAACATATTGAAGATATCCAATATGTTTTTTACTTGGTAATGTTATGGTCGAGCAGTTTAGATACATTTTAATACGCATCATAGTGGCCCTTGTTGAATTCGAAGCCCATCCATGGGGCAGCAAATGTTGTGCAATTGTATACATTTATCTTTTGTAATATTTAATCAGTTAACTCTCAAAATATAAGAATTTATTAACCAAATAATTCAACTCCAGGTCCAACATATTTCAGTCAAAAACTCTTAACTAAGCAAATGAAATTCAACTAAGCTCTATAACTACTATGTACAGAGAAGGAAAGGCAATATAAATGGTTAAAAAAAACATTGTCAATAAAGTGATAAAATCACATTACAGCTCTGCATTGATTTCATTTTTGAAACCAAAGTTAATCTTTAGGAATTTCTAAAGAAATCCAATTAGCTTTCAGCTAATTTAGAGCTAATGGGATGTGTTCAGACCAATGTACAATGGAAAAATAAAAGAGGTACACAATACTTTTTGTAAAATAATATTTTTTGGACTGATTTTCCCTGATCACAGATCAATAGCCATCTAGATAACTGATTGTTAATGTAATGTTATTATTTCTGTGGGAATTAAAATGGGTAAGGAACTCTCATGGCAGTGGGTTTAGCTTTGGTTAGCCAGGTTTGGTTTAGACAAATCTATCACCAGCAAACATAAGGAAACTCACTTTAAAGGAGATATCTGTCATATTGTAGATCTCAAATATAATAAAGGGACCCTAAAACTCATAGACATTAATGTCGTATAAGTATTGAAGCACTCATTGAAATAAGGTTTACCATAAGTATGTAAATAATACTCAAAATATGTTAATGTCTGATTTGCTAGTATGCGGTCAGATTGCTCTCAAAATACAGCCAAACACATGAAATGATCAGAGACCAACAGTTTTTGTCCGAAACACTGTCCCTGCATCTGGTACCTATGTTAATCACAAGTTTGAGGGAGCTGAGGTATGTCTAATGGCCAGGGAAAGTTTAGCATGTCCAAGCCGTGGCCTAGTCAGGAGGGCTTGCTGTTTCCTCTGTGAGGGCTCATGCAACTGACTTTTAAATCTCCAAGTGACCTTCTCCAATCATCACAAGTTTCAATGAAGTTGTCATTAATTGAATTTACTAATACAATTTCTATAAATATACACAATTGAATCAGATCTACTGTTACTCTTAATTTTTCTTGTCAGTCCTAGTGATATTTTGCCATGATTTTAGTTTTTTGCTCAACACGTGCCATTTTACAGATTCATTTCAGTCAAGTCGTACAAAAAAATTGCCTACAAATTTTCCCTTAAAGGAAACAGAACTGACTTACTTGAGTCACTGGCATTGAAGGGTTCTCTTCTCCTGGATGGGCATGTAGTGACAGTAGCATTCGCTTACATTGTGTAGTCATAGATGAGATTTAAATGAGATACCTTAAAAAACGTGAATTCACACATTCACACCATCATGGAAAGCCACAGCTGCCCTGGAGCTCAATGAAAGAAGGGAAGAAGCTGTACACAGGTGCCACCAACGGTCTGACTGTCTGACCACCAACGTATCTCTTCACATACAGTTTAAGTCACTTTTTCAAGAACACAATAAATTGAAAGCTGTAGTCTGGGCTTGAACCAACAACCCTCCGGATGCAGGGGAAACTTATGAATCTGACCCAACTGTATCAAAACCAACTGATATAGTTAAATAATTGGAATTGAATGCCAGGTGATTTACCTATTGACATTTGTTGTTTCACAATCTAAACAGTATTTCAATGTCGAATATCGTTTTTAATTAGGAGTCAATTCTAATAATGTGTTTAATGCTTTCAAAAAGGGAATTAAAAGCTGTGATGAAAGCAAACTGAGATCATAGGGAGAGTTATCTGATTTCCCTGCTTGGGATTACAACTAGACACTAAAGTTGAGGCAGTCTGAGAATTATATTAGATCTTGTTGAGATCTTTTCTGAAACTTGAAAGTAGACTAAATGGAACTTAAGTGCATTTTATTGCTCCAGAGAAAAAACTGAGACACTGGGGAAATAAACATTAGTCTCATTCTGGTGTCACACATATCTCATGGTTGTCTAGAAGTACATGAAACATTTTGGAGATCCCATTTCAAATTTTCCTTTCCCAGGGATGTTTTTTTTCCCACATAATTTTAGCGAATAAATTATTGAATATCTTTGAAATATTTGTAATTTTTCCAATATTAGGGTGTTGAAAAAGGTTTATCCTGGTGCAAACATTATAAAAAAGAGAATATTCATGTGTAATGTAAGAACTGATGATGAGAGCAAAGTAGTTGAAAAGCCATGTGTAAAGGCTCTGCTTCTTGTCAACCAAATTCAAATTTAAAAGCTCCCTCTAGATGGCACCATGTCCTCAATGGCAAAAGGCCATGCCTCCTTTTCAGCACTTTGCTGTTAGGATCATTTATCACCTCTTCCATACATCAGTCAAAAGAGGAAAAACTGCATCCAGTTTCAATTCTGCAAATCCATTGATATAAACATTAATTAGCTTTACCAGATAAGGTGCTCATGAACTTACTTAATATATATTAATAAATAAAAGTGGATGAATGAGGATAACTTTCAGCTGAATATCATCATACATAGATGAGAAGGAACAACACTCACAACATGTTAATAAATACATATTTTATTACATTAAAATAAAACAATTAAAAATGATCACAGATTTTTTTTTATCATATATTGAAAGAAACTAATGAGATCATGCAAGACCTTAATGTCTCTTTTAATCCCAAACAACATCTGGAGTGGATGCAACCAGTATAAATGGACAGTAGAAAATAATAGCTGTGCTATGAAATATCTGCCACACTGAGAGGTGGCATTTTCTTTCACTGCACGCAGTACAATGTTCCTCATGAAACACGCAGTCGCGGACCACCTGAGAAGGATTTTACAACCTTTCTGACAGCAGATTGATGGAATTACTTGTTCTCAAGTGTTCTTTGTTTCTAATATTTTTGCAAGTCTTGCTACGCTGTGCTGCAGACGTTTTGTATCAAGTCAGTGTCAGCTGCAGACACAGTTACATGTAACTGAAGTTTGCCATTTAAGATGTAGAGGTGTAATTCTGTGCTTTAAAATGTTTGTCAAATTTTGGGATGCATGATGGCACATAAGGGTCAGAGAAGTCAAATTTTCACGCCAATAACACAAGAAAAAACTTTAAGGACAGTGTGCAAATGTGTTTGTGTCAATCAACACCTAATACCTGCAGTAAATAACCTATACAAAGTTTTTTTTCTAGCAATATATGTCAATGCACATGAGTTTGGACGTAAACACAAAACTTAGGAACTTGAAGTCCTCTTGTTGCAATGCATTCAGTTAATCTTCTTTGTCACAAAGTCTTTATATATCATAGTCAGAGTTTCTGTGATTTCAGAGCCTGTACCCTGAACACACACCATAGACTGAAGCTCTGTATATTCTATTAACTTAATTTGCCTTCTTGTATAACCCTGCAGAAAGCACATTTGTCCCACACCCCAGGCTCACTGACCTTTACATGGTGCAGCAAAGTGCAAAGATCTCACCACACACTGAGATCTCACCACACACTGAATGTAGTCAGTGTGTGGTGAGATCTCAGTCATGTTTCAGTCATGCGTTTCAGTCATGTTTCAGTTTCAGTTATGCGTTAGCTAATTTTCTCGTCCATGGCAATACTGGAAAGACTGAACATCACATAAAGTGTTGGAAACACACTATGACTCCATATTTTTATGAGTAATTTGACATAGCTGACAGGGATGATCAGGACTTATACCAGGCAATCAACACCTGACATTAATTCTTCTATCATGAAACAGCAATGAATGTTATATATTTTTTTAATGAATTCATCAGTTTAAAAGTAAGAAACTGTTAAAAACTCTAATAGGGAATGTTTCTGTTCCTAATACTTAAACAAAGACTGGGGGAAATATAAAATAATTATCTTCCTCATTTAAAATGAATTTCAAATCATTTTGGCTCCACGTGACACTCAGAGCTACAGTATTCACAATATGTTGTCATATAATACACAAATGCACTAGTTTGTCATACAAAACTGTTCAGAGTTTAAGCATTCCCCTTACTGCCAAATTACATTAAAAACAAGAGTTTTAAACATTATCCCTTCAGTACCCATTGGTTTCAGGAACTGTTTAAGAAAAAAAAGACATTTAATATTCCATATTCAATGTTGCATCCAATGACACTATTTGGTTGGATGCTGTGCTTTTCTGCAACACATTTAATCAGAGTGGCTGCATCCAGTTTATCACCGTCTGTGCTTTTTTTCCCTCTAAATATCAATGTATGAAGATCAAATAAAATAATGAAAGCAAACATATTCACTGTCTCTCTTGTAGATTTTACCTTTTTAAGTTAGTCCACAATAGAATTTGTATTTGTGAAAGAGAACATTTATTCTAGTTTGAAAAGTGATCTGTGAGAACATCAGCGAAATGGCGCTCGCTTCAGACATTTTATGGAATAAAAACGTAATTTCTGATTTTCACATAGAATGGCTGATTCGTTTTTAATGCACAACATCCTCCACAATTTTGGCGCTAATTGTAAAGAAGTAAAAAGTAAATCCAAATAAGCCTTAAAGCAACCCTGCCATATCCTTTTTCAGGACAAAAAATAAGAAAAAAATATGTTTTGTGCAGTTTTACTTTTGCGTGTTTATTTGGCTATGTATTTTGAATCATTATTTCTCTAAATGCCTCTAAGCATTTGCAAGTAATTTGAAAACTTTGTTATCCAAATCTCTCTAATACAGCTCCTATTTTTGCAACAGAAAGAGGCCCACAGTGTCATAGAAACTTAGCCCCACAAAACAGCTGAAATTCAGTGCCGTTCCAAACACCGTCCTTTGCCTCATGCTATACTCACTTGGTTGGTAGCCAAAATGTTCCATGAGGAACACAGTTTTTGATACAGTTCGGGTAGCATTTAAAAGAAAAAACTGTATTTGTTTACACTTGAGATGCTTGAAGAGAAAGCTATGTTTTCTAGCAACGCTCCCAAACAATCTGTCGTTAGATATATTTGGCGAGCACAAGATGTCAGTCTTTGTCACATTGTCTAATTCTGACATTCTTTACTATCAAACTCACGTTGCATAGTAACTGTGCTGCTGTGCAGCCTTAGTTACAAACTGGGATCTGATAACATTAATATTTGATACAGAAAAACAAAACCTTCTGTTCTGGATAAACTGTTAGGTGTGCCAATAACCACTTCATAGATTTAAAAAAAATATATATTTATCAACATGGGGTTATATCATCCCCTGGATAAATGTACACACATTTAGGCATGGTGCTGCTACAAAAGACTAATTTTAATACTTTTTGCAAATCTTTCCAAGGAGGGTCAATAATTGCAAAGGTTGCTGTACATACATTAAGAAACACTGCCCATTTCTTGTTGTTGTATGTGTTGAAGAT